AACTGATGTCGGCTATCATATTATAGGGCATATGCAACAATTTTTACTTGCTTTTATTTTAAATTTTTATTATTTGCTGGGATATTAAATTCAACAAAATAAACCTATTTGTATATAAAACAATAGCATTATTGAGTGTTTATATTAAAGACTAAATAAACATATTTAAAATACATACTAAATACTTATAATCCAATAGATATACATAAGATAAATTTGATTTGTATGATGTTTTTATTTTCTTTATTAGATATGTATTAATTAAATTAAAAATATGTAAATCAATAGATTAAGAAAATAAATTGTACTCTTTTTAAAAACTGTATTAAAATGTATTACTTATTGATAAATATCATCCCATGAAATGTTAAAGGTTTCATAATTTTTTCTATAATTCATCATATTTTCGATATGAAAATTCTTAAAAATTTAACTAACAAATTTATTATTTAATTGTTATTTGTTTCAAAAATTTATATAAAAATTTGTAAAACCTTTTTGCATTTCATTTGACGATATGCATAAATACTTCAAATAAATATTTTCCACATACTTGTTATATAAAAACTTTAAATAATTTAATATTTTCATATTCCTTAAAGAATGCCAATTAAATTTTAATAAATTTTTATTGAGCCTATTAAAAGCTGTGAATCTTGTAAATACATTTATTTATGTTTGTGGTAATTAAATCATTTTTAAATAAATCTTATTTATTGAATTTTAGTAAATAATTGAAATTGTTTATTTTATTAAAATTTAATTTTATTTATGATAAGTAATTGCCAATTTGTTTCAAAATACATGAAATTGTTTGTATAAATTTTTATATTGTGGTATTTGACTTTAAATAAAGAAAAAAACTATATAAATTTATATATAATGATGTATTTAAGTATGTAAGCATAAGTATAGGATATAATCTATAAACTGATAAGATCATGAAAATTTCTTAGTTTGAGGTACTTTAGACTTCATTGCAGTGCAGCGAAATTAGCAATTCGATAACATTTTAATTTATTTTAAAATCATTTAACTTTTCCCCCACCACAAGATATCTTATAAGAGCTTTATTTAACACTCGGGACAGTTATGATTCTCACAGAAGTTAGCGTTATAACTGTTATCTTCGCTTTTACATCCAATTTTTCCTATGAAAGTGCTTTTTGAGAAATCAGTTGTATTTGCTGAGATAATTACTTATCGTCCATCGAAGTTGATGGTCGGACAGACATAGTTAAGTCGAATAAAAAAGTGATTTGAATATCACTACAGTAGTACAGGTTATAAAAACCATGAATATTCCAAAAAACATGAGTTTTTAAGCTTTAGATGAAGATATCCCGAAGAAGAAAGAAGATACATATGTCAGATCTTAAGCCTTTATTTTAAAGTTGTCTTGGCGCTGTCTCAAAAAGGGCCAAAAATAGTGCTTTCTCAAATTTCAGGACACGATATCTCAAATCCCAGATGTGATGGAAAAAAATCTGAGGTCTGAGCTATTCAATTCTTTCGAAACGTCTAACTTGGTCTCAGGGTTTCGACGGATCCTTATACAATTTAGTAGAGGGAGCTGGAGGTTGGGACAATTATGGACCGATCCTCATAAAATTGAGTAGAGAAATTTTGGTTCCTATATAACTTGTTTTTGTCTAATTTCATAACTAATTTATAGGTAGGGTCCGAATATGATACGATCCCCATAACATTTGGTGAAGAGATTTTTATTGCCATAAAACTTGTTTTGTATCATATTTCGTCACTATACAGATGTTATTAAGCCAGATATGAAGGATAAATTGAAGGGTTCCTTATATGGGAAATCAATTATGGACCGATCCTCATAAAATTTGGTAGAAATATTTTTCTACCAAAGTCAGTTTTAAACGTTAAAGAGATTTTCTGAAGGATTCCTTATATGGTGGATACGATCAATTATAGACCGATGTCCACTATAAATTACTATATAATTTTTGGTTGCAAAAAACTAAATTGATAAAAATTGTATATAAAATTTTTCTAATAATAATAATTTTATATTTTATGTATAATTACAAATGTATGACCCTTTAAACAGTATTTCGAGGGGCCACTTGTATGGGGCCGGGCAAAATCGTGAATCTATATGGTATATTTTCAATACAAAATAAACCTTATCTAATCATGCACAATTTTAACAGTCTATCTCCTCCCGTGTGGTAGCCATTATGATTTCAACAAAAAGGTCGGATAGAATTTAATAAGGAGCCAGAATATATATATTTGTGGGTCCACAACTAATATTTCAATGTGTTATCCATGGTATCAAGGTTCCGCATTTGGTGGCACCAAAAATGTCCGTCCTACCTATTATAAACTGTAGACATCTGACCACACCATCACAGGGAACCTGTGCCATATACAACTGATTATAAAACTCCCACAATATGTGACCAGATTGAAAGCGATGGAAAATTTCGATGATATTGACAACCGTCGGGCGTATGTTGCAATATCAGTTTAAAAGTATTTAGAAAGAAATGGTGGCGAATTTTTACCTCACGCGGCGTTATAGTCCAGGCCTTTATTCCGGCTAATATTTGTTTCGATTAGTCCGTCTGGATCCAAACAGAAATAGCTAGAGACACAAATATTCCACAATAGAACCTAAACGAAATGAAACGAATTTCTGCAAATATTATTTAATTATGCAGTTTGTTTTTGGTATCGAAAATGGGCAAAATCAGTTCACATTTGACAAGATTCGGCATAGTCGAATATAATACGTTAACTTATTAGAAGTAGTATGTAAAATATCGGCAAAATAATACATCACAATCGATGCGTATTCATGTACTGAATGTCTTGATCTCAGTAAGTACAATATTTTAAAAAAAATTCTTGTATCTTTTCGAAATGGGACTCAAAAAATTGGTAATTTTGATTATTGATTGCGGGAAAGATCATTTTAAAAAGTAATTTTTAGCTTATAAAGAGAAATTTTTTTGGCATTTGGATTGGAATTTTTTTAGATTATTTGGAGATTGCAGAAAATTTTTTGAAAATCTATATATATAAAAATGAAAGTGTGTTTGTATGTATGTATGTTTGTTTGTGCTTTATAGACTGCTAAACGGCTGGACCGATTTTCCTGAAATTTTCACAGTTTTTTCATGTATGTCTGGAAGGAACTATAGGCTACTTTTTATGTTGAAATTTCATGTGGGCGACGTGCCACGCCCATATTAAGAAAATATTAAATTAGTATATCTGAGATTATAGTTAGAGTCTTCAAATTTTGTCGGAGCAACTTAAGTATCAATATAATTATTTAAGACAAAAAGTGGGCGGATTAGCATTAAGGGGCGTGGCACCTCCCATATAAATTAAATACAAAAATTCGTTTATCTTGGAAACTATTATAGTTAGAATATCAAAAATTTGCACGAGTAACTTTAACATCCATGTAAACATTTTGGGAAATAAATTGGCGGACTACCCATGAGGGGAGCAGCACCTCCCATATTAATAAAATACACAAATTGGTTTATCTGGGAAACTAATAGAACTAAATTATTAAAATTTTGCACTAAGAACTTAAATATTCATCTGAACATTTTGGAGAAAAAAGAGCGGACTTTCGTCATGGGGGGCTTGGAGCCCCATATAAATTATATAGGAAAATTATTATATCTGAGAAACTATTAGAGCTGGAATCTTCAAATTTTAATTGAAGAACTTTGACATTCATGTGAACATTCAGAGAATAACGGGCGGACTTTCAATGGGGAGCTTGGCACCTCACATATGAATTAAATACAAAATTTCGCTTATCTGGGAAACCAATAAAACAAGATTCTTCAAATATTGCAAGAAAAACTTTATTATACATATGAACATTTTGGAGAAAAAAAGGGCGGACTTTCATCTGGGGGCTGTGAGTTCCCATATGAATTAAATAGAAAAATTCGTATATCTGAGAAACTATTAGAGCTGGAATCTTCAAATTTTAATTGAAGAACTTTGACATTCATGTGAACATTTAGAGAATAACGGGCGGACTTTCAATGGGGTCTTGGCACCCCCTATATGAATTAAATACAAAATTTCATATATCTGGGAAAATATTAGATTTTTTTTTTTAATTTGTCATCGATTACATTAAAATCTTAATTAACGTTCGGAAAAAATGCATCTCTGGAAAACATTACAGTTAGAATCTTCAAAATTATTTAGAAGATTTTTTATTTATATTGATTTTAGGTTAGCAAAGCACACTGGGTATAGCTAGTATTGTACAAAGATCAACTGAGGCTCTTTTCAAAACAATATTTTAAATAATGGTTTTCTTTTTCATAGTATTCCCAAGATTTAAATTATCATGTAAACAATTGTTTAATTTATTAAAAGTTTTCAACGATTTTCATTGCTATTTTTAAAAGAATTAAAGAGAAAACATAGATTTAATATAAACTAATTAAACATAAATCCATTAATTTCCATGAAAATGGTATGATAAATGCTGAAGACTTTCAAAGTATTTTTTTCTAATTTATTTTTTTATTAACACAAAGGAAACAATTAAAATATAAAATATTTAATAGCAATAAACAAAACAATTGAATATTAAAATAACAAATAACTTAACTATAGAAAAACACAAACAAAGAAATATTAATTAAATTAATGTAAATAAATGTATGTACAAATATCATTAGATGTAAAACAATAATAAATTACATATAAATACTCTGTAATCAAATTTAAAAATACTATTATTAATGATTAAATTTAAGTAGAAATATTATTTATTATGTATTTTTTTTTTTTTTTTCTTTAAAATAAAACAAACTAACAATTCTTAAATGTATAACATAAAGTACTAAATACAATTTTGATATAATTTAATAAAAATTATAAAATATATAAAATAGTGTTTTACTTTTAACGTCACATCAAAAACGGGTGAAAAATGTGAAATATTTTCGCACAACTTTAAATTTCATTTGATAGAAACCATCATCATAATTCAATTTTTCACAAACCACATTGTTCAGCGCGCACTTCCAACCATTCTAAAAGGGATTTGATGCACAACATCAAAAATAAAATAAAACAAGTAAGAAAGTATAGTCGGGCGTGGCCGACCATATGATACCCTACACCAGTTATGAATATTAAATGTGATTTATTTTTCATACTAAAGCATTTATCTTCAATATTCCCTTGTTCCGATACATTTAAGCAATTTACGGATGACAAACTAATTTTCTGAAAGAGGCTTTATATGGTGGCTAGGGGCAAATATGGACCAAGCCCGATAAATTTTTGTGAATATATTTATATTTACATAATATTTTATTGTGCTGAATTTCATCGCGATATTTGTGTTTATAAGTTAATTTGGAACATTCAAGTAATTTTCTGAAGGGGACTTTGTATGGGAGCTAGGGTCAAATGTGGCCCGATCTTTATGAAATTTGGCAGGGTCATCAAGACTTCTATAAAGCTTAGTTGTGCCGTATTTTATCGGTATATATGTATATTTAACATAATTATGAGCTCAGAAGCCCTTTTCGGGGGGTCCTGTTCTATGGGGGCTAGGTGAAATAATGGACCGATTTTAACCATTTTCAATAGGCTTCGTCCTTAGGTCAAATAAAACGTGCGTGCCAAATTTCATCCAATTATCTTGAAAATTGCGACCTGTACCTTGCGCACAAGGTTTACATGGACAGCCAGCCAGACGGACGGACGGACGGACATAGCTTAATCGACTCAGAAAACGATTCTAAGCCGATTGGTATACTTTAAGGTGGGTCTAGGATGAATATTTTTGTATGTTACAAACATCAGCACAAATCCAATATACCCTCCCCACTAAAGTGGTGTAGGGTATAAATACAAAAATTTGAAAAGAAAAATGTGATGAAACTTTTTAAAAGGTTTGTCATTTTAGATAAAAAAAAGTGAAAAAAACCTAAAAAAAAGAAGACCAACAAAAGGAATAAACTTACTGCCGCTGGCTAAGCAATTTTCCATGCCAAAACTGCATTGGTTGCCAAAAATTTCATAATTTTTTCCATCACTGGCACAAACAGGATTATAAATCAATGGACAGGCACGCATACAGTCATCACGTACCACCGGATCAATGTCCTTAATACACAAAAGCATCTGTGTGGGCTTCCAAGCTTAACAATTGAGAAGTTGCGAAAAAGAACAATATAAGTGTAATGTAAAAATATAACGTCTATTTTTTAATTAAATTGTATGAACATAACAGTTACCTCTACTCTGACGACAATTGTCGTATTCCATTAAGCATTGGTTATGAAAATATTTATGTTCTTGGGGATGCATTTCATCGACAGCACAAATGGGATCTAAGATGCGAGGACAAGCGCGTAAACAATTGTCATTGTAATCAATTAATTCTGGGAATTCCATAGCATTTTTGTCACCAGCTGTCTCTACCGATTCAAAAGATTCTTCTGTTACAGAATCTATTATATCGTAGTATTCGGCTGTAGTCATTTCCACTATAGTGATAACAAAAATTATATTCTTGATAGACAACATTTTTTTGTATTTAAATCTTTAATGCGCTAAACTTTAACCATAAATAAATGTTAACTGAATATGAATGTTGTAAACCTAAAAATCACTTTTTATATACTTGTTAAAATCTAGAAAAAAAGTACCTTATTTTCTTAGTATCTTCTTAAGTCATTGTACTTTATCTGTTGTTTATTTCCAGTGACCAGATCAGTCATTGTATCACACAAACATACTCATTGCAAGTTTGTAAGTACTTGAAAACTTGACCTTGTTTACATTTTTAAAGTTTTCCTTAAATTATGTTTCTGTCTATAGATTGGCAAGATTAAGAATAACACTGTGTGACAGAAAAAAATTATTCATTTTCAAATTCTTAAATTTTTGGGATCTATTTTAGTTTTTTTTTAATATTTCTTAGTTATCTGGTCCCTAGAAAATTTTTAGAAGCATCCAAAGTTGCACCATGTAAAAAGGGCCTTATTTTTATACCCACCATCAAAAAAAAAATGGGGGTATATTGTTTTCGTCATTCCGTTCGTAACACATTGAAATATTTTTCTAAGATCCATAAAAGTATATATATTCTGGATCCTTATTAAATTCTAAGACGATCTATCCATGTCCGTCCGTCTTTCTGTCTGTTGAAAATACGATAGAGTCCAAATGGAAGTAGCTAGCAGGCTGAAATTTTGCATAAATGTATTATTTTTATGAAGTTTGTTTGGTATTAAAAATGGGCAATATCGGTCCACGATTTCGCTTAGCCCCCACATAAGGTCCCCTTCACAAAATGACTTTAACGCACATAACTGACTAAAAGAGCCGCTATAGCGATGAAATTCGACAGGAACATATTCTATAGGAGCCTCAATATTCCATAATTGACCCTACCCCCCATACAAGGTCCCCTTCAGAAAATTACTTTAATGCTCATAACTGTCTAAGAGAAGTATATATTGATGAAATTCGACATGAACATATTTTATAGGAACCTAAATCGCTTTGTAAAATTTTATAAGGATCGGTCCATAATTGACCCTACCCCCCCATATAAGGTCCCCTTCAGAAAATTACTTTAACGGTCATAATTGTCTAAAAGAAGCATCTATAGCAATGAAATTCGACAAGAACATATTTTATAGGAACCTATAGGAACCTACCCCCATATAAGGTTCCCTTCAGAAAAAGACTTTATCGCTCATAACTGTCTTAAAGAAGCATCTATAGCGATGAAATTCGACATGAATATATTTTATGGGAACCTAAATCGTGAAATTTTATAAGGATCGGTCCATAATTGACCCTACCCCCCATATAAGTTCCCCTCCAGAAAATGACTTTAACGCACATAATTGTCTAAAAGAAGCATATACATATAGCGATGAAATTCGACATGAATATATTTTATGGGAACCATAATTGACCATATCCCCCATATAAGGTCCCCTTCTGAAAATGACTTTAATGCTCATAACTGTCTAAAGGAAGCATCTATAGCGATGAAATTCGACACGAACATATTTTATAGGAACTTAAATCGCTTTGTAAAATTGTATAAGGATCGGTCCATAACTGACCCTATCCCCTAAATAAGGTCCCCTTCAGAAAATTACTTTAACGCACATACATACATAAATGGCGTAAAAAAACAGTCTATCAAATGAAATTCGACATGAACATGTCTTATTGGAACCTAACTCTATTTGTCAAATTTTTTAAGGATCGGTCCATAATTAACCCTACCTCCATATAAGGTTCCTTCAGAAAATGATTTTAGCGGTCATACCTGTCTTTAAGAACAATAGTTAAATATAACGATGGAATTCGACATAAGCAAGCTTTATTGGAGCCAAATTATTTTATAAAATTTTATGAAGATTGTTCCATATTGAGCAATAGAAAATACCCCTCAGAACATGGCTTTAACGATCATAATTTGTTGTATATATATGGATAAGCCCAACAGAATATTTTGTGTATCGATAAATATCTTGTATAAAGCAACTAATAAATGATTTCTAAATGATAGCACCCTCATCACGGAATATCTAAAACTACTTATATGGGTTTTGATAAAAAGTAGATTACGGGTGGAGGGTATTTAAGATTCGGCCAAACCGAATATAGCACTCACCGTTAAAAAGTAGCTAATGATATACATAAATATAGGGAGAGAGTTGACAAAAGTCAACTCCTAACTGAAAATTACTAACTATATGTCTATCTTGGCAAAACCTCTTTGTAAAGTTAAAACTATTATAGGCAGTTGTTGTTTGCATTTAAATCACACTAATCATAGTAAATAAACGCGTTTTGAACACTTTTATTGAATTTTAATTTAAATAACTAATTTGATTTTAGAATCTAAAATCTAATCTAAAATTTAGATCATTTAACTTAAATTTTTAACGAATAATATTTAGGCTGGTATAATTTACATTCCAAATATATATATAAAAGCTCGTTTGTGTGTACAAATAATTTAATAATAAATGGTTCTGAGATTGACTATTAAGTTTTTACTAAATGGTAATGACGTTCAACCACATAGTCGATAACACAGTTAAATGGAAATGTATTGAATTTAGCAAAACATTTTCTTCTATATGTTAAATACTCTCTATGGCTTTGAAGTGTAACAAGCAGTCGTGGCCGAGCGGTTAAGGCGTCTGACTAGAAATCAGATTCCCTCTGGGAGCGTAGGTTCGAATCCTACCGACTGCGAGGAACTATTTTTTTAAGTTTTAAAATTTATTTTTTTTCTCATTATGAAGCAGCATATTTATTCAAAATTAAATCATATGTTCTGATATTCTAAAACATTTTTGTAATAAAATAAAACTCACTTGTAATTGTAGTTTTTTGACAAATATTTTTAATTTTATTTAGAATATATCGTTTCAACTTCTTTTACAAATTCCTCACAGACAACATTCATTTAATAATTATATATATTTTTTTTAATAAATATGATTCTATGTATTTATATTAAGAATTTCTTAAACTGTTCGTTTGCCTACTAGTTTAATTGTAATCTAGTATCTATCTAGTATGCAAATTTTGTATTGAAATTTTCCAAAACTAATAAAATTTTAACCAACTAGCAAACTTGCAAATCAGGATTACGTTTCTATTAAGAATTTTTAAATCTGTTTATTAGTCTACTATTGTTTTTCATTATTTGGACATTTCTAATAAAATTTAAAAAAAAAAAACTAGCAAACGAACATTAAATTTATTTCAATTTCCGTTGTTTCTTTAAACTATTATGCATTTTTATTTTATAAAATACACACACGCACACACTCACAATCGTTTGTATTTTTGTTTTATTAAATACCTAAAATACATTTAATTCCAAAAAAAAAATCGTAAATATTAGTTGCTGTTATTATTATTGTTTATATTATTTTATGTAAAAAATATTTTGAAAAAATTAACAAAACTATTTAATTTTAATTAATTTTAACACGTGAAAAGCAGTTATTTTTTTATATTATAAAAAGTACAAAAAATTTTAGTGTTTTTTTATTTGTTTAAATCTAAATTAAAATTAACAATATTATAATAAACAAATAAATATAAAGTAATATTTTTTTATAAATTAGTTGTTTTATTAAACCTAAAATTTATGTTTTAAATACACACAAATTTATAAAAATAATAAAAAAAAAAACAATTAAAAAATAAAAAAAAGAATGTTTATAATTCATTAAGTTAAACATGTAAATATTTCAAAAAAGTTTAAATATTTTTAATTTTATTTAGCATAAAATGCAGACTGTTGTTGTTGTTTTTTTTTTCAGTTTATATTTTGTAAAGTTATTGAATATTTTTAATATCTAAAAATCGTTTTTTGTCAAAATTAGTTTTCATAAAACACAATTTTGTTAATAAAGTTTTTGTTTTTTGGTTACTTCCTCTACATAACAATACGTTTTTGTTCCTTTTATGTCCTTTCTTCTCTTAAAGCACAATACATACTATTGGTAATTTATTTTGTTTTGTTGTAATAACTATGTTGTGTATAATTTAAGTGTGTTTATTATTTTAAGTTTATTGTTTATAAAATGTGTGCTTTTGTTGTAAATGTTATTTTATCAGTTTTAATATAAATTAAATTTTTTATTAAAAAAAACTATTTAATATATTCTAATATTTTCCCTTAAATGTTGTTTTGTATTTTTACAAATAAAGCTAAATATATTTTTGTAAGCTCTTTTAATGCGTTGCTGAGATCTGATGTTTTGTGGGATTTATGTGGATCATAAATAATGCTCCAATCATTGATATTAATGTACGATCTAACCAGGTAACAGGATTGGGATATATAAGACCACCTTCATAGAAACCTAAATGACCACCATGGGCCAATTCGACATAACAAGTCTTGTGACGAGATGCTGAAAATAGAAAAGATAAAATAAGTTTATATTAAAATTGTTATTAATTATAAAAATAATATTTAAAAATTTAAAGAAATTAAACTAAAAATATAAAAACAACTTCTCGCAGTCGGTAGGATTCGAACCTACGCTCCCAGAGGGAATCTGATTTCTAGTCAGACGCCTTAACCGCTCGGCCACGACTGCTTGTTAATTTATTTCGCCTAAGTTGAAACATCTACAACTAATTTGTTTAACCGCTACAAACACACATATACTATATGATGTATTTCCGCTTTGACAAAATTGCCATATGTTGAAAATTTATACGCATGTAGTTTAAAACCCGATTCGGTTTGCGTTAAACTCTTCAAACAGTTTTAATAGTAGAATTTTAGAATAAATAAATTCTTTAAAAGTCATATCGACAAAAAAGTAGAGTTTAGTTCTACTACCACTTCTTTAGTTCTAGTCTTGTTTTAGTCTAGTTCTAGTTCAGTGCAACGTTTATGTATTTCTCGAATTCATTAAAAAAATATTATAAAGTTTATGATCGTATTGTATAAAACGGGGTATTTATGTATATACAAGGAAGTAAAATATTTCTTGGAAAATGTAATTGTCTAAGTTTAAAAATAAAATAACTGTCATAGTTATTTAAACTTTTGTCAGTTCTAGTTCAGTTGTAGTTCAGTTCTAGTTCAGTTCCAGTTCAGTTCCAGTTCAGTTCTAGTTCAGTTCTAGTTCAGTTCTAGTTCAGTTCTAGTTCAGTTCTAGTTCAGTTCTAGTTCAGTTCTAGTTCAGTTCTAGTTCAGTTCTAGTTCAGTTCTAGTTCAGTTCTAGTTCAGTTCTAGTTCAGTTCTAGTTCAGTTCTAGTTCAGTTCTAGTTCAGTTCTAGTTCAGTTCTAGTTCAGTTCTAGTTCAGTTCTAGTTCAGTTCTAGTTCAGTTCTAGTTCAGTTCTAGTTCAGTTCTAGTTCAGTTCTAGTTCAGTTCTAGTTCAGTTCTAGTTCAGTTCTAGTTCAGTTCTAGTTCAGTTCTAGTTCAGTTCTAGTTCAGTTCTAGTTCAGTTCTAGTTCAGTTCTAGTTCAGTTCTAGTTCAGTTCTAGTTCAGTTCTAGTTCAGTTCTAGTTCAGTTCTAGTTCTAGTTCAGTTCTAGTTCAGTTCTAGTTCAGTTCTAGTTCAGTTCTATTTTAGTTCTATACAATACAAAAGAAATCCCTATTTGTTTTTTATACAAAAAGCATTGTTAATATTCGCAGTCGGTAGGATTCGAACCTACGCTCCCAGAGGGAATCTGATTTCTAGTCAGACGCCTTAACCACTCGGCCACGACTGCTCATAGCGGCCGTTGACATGGCAACAAATTTGCAAATTTGAATATTTAGCAACAACAAAAATAATAAATACACATTTAAATGAAAAATTAATTACAACTACAAAAGTATATCTTATCAATCTTTATCAGTTAACCGACCACACGGGTTGACAACAAATATATGCAGATACATACCGGCAAAATTCTTAATGGGCGGCAATAAATCTTCTGGTACTAAGGGATCGTCTTTGGCATTTATAAATATCATTGGTTTTTCAATTTTATCAAAATAGTGTAAAGAGGAACTCCATCTGTAAAGGTCAGTTGTTGTGGGGAAATTATGAACACGTCTTGTATATGCCTCATCCAGTTCAGGCAGTGTGGCGGCTGCAATTATTTCACGCTCATTTAAGTTATGACGCTGGCGTGTCTCCTCCGACAGGAGGACGTGACGATGTTTTAAAATGATATTTTTCATATTTTCAGTCATTATGTATAAATAGAAACGACGGAAATTTTGCCAATTTAGTAGCCATTTGGTGCCTCTGTAAATAAATATCACAAAGAAGATTAATACATAAATAATTGTTTAGAACTCACTTTAAATATACTTACTCTTCGGCATTATAGCCCTGGCATATTGAAATACCACCAATGATATTTTGTGGTTTTCTCTTGTCACTTTCGCCCATATATTTGGTAACCAAATTACCACCCAAACTAAAGCCCACCGCAACAATATGTGTATCTCTATATTTTTCCGTTAGATTCTCAATCATTGTGGAATAGTCATCAGTATGACCTTGAAATTTAATGAAATTATTAAAGTTTAAATGTCAGTTTAATTGATTTGTGTTTTGTTCTCTCTCATTGATACTTTTTCTAAATCAATTTGAAAATGCAACAGTGATAATTGAATTGTATAGAACTACTTACCATATGTGAATATTCTCGAGGCGGTGACTTGGACACTATTTAAGGCACCAATATGATTAAGGACTGCACAACGATAGCCATGACATTGTGCATAGTGAACGAATGTGCGTATATAAACACTTTCCGAGGAATTGCCAATACCAGGACATATGGCTACGGTGATGTCATCTAAAATAATGAAAAAAAAAACATACAATGATTTTTTATATTTACATAAAAATGCTATATAATTGTTAAAGTGCTTTTACATTTAAGGAAATAGGAAGTTCAAGGTTATAGCTTTCTTTGAACATTGTTATAACAGAAATAACCGAAAAGTTATATTTTTGATATGTGTATTAGAGGGTGGTTCATTTCAATTAGCGACCCTTGAATTTTTGCAAATTATATGAAAATTCTAATAATTTTTAACACTAAATGTATAAAAGCCAAGTTTATAAGCTGTGAAACAGACAATTTACAAATAAAATAAAAAAACATACAAAATACCCTAATTTAAATTGGCTTATAGTTAAAAACCATTAAAAATCAATATACAAATGTATGTATTTGTTCATATTAAATATAAATTAATAATTAAAGTAAAATTGGTAACAAATATATACAATGTACTATTTTTTTAAAACGTGTATGAATGCAAAATCGATTAGTTAATAAACAATGAAAAAACAAAACAAAAATAAATTTAAGTTCAATTCTAGTTCAGTTCTAGTTCAGTTCTAGTTCAGTTCTAGTTCAGTTCTAGTTCAGTTCTAGTTCAGTTCTAGTTCAGTTCTAGTTCAGTTCTAGTTCAGTTCTAGTTCAGTTCTAGTTCAGTTCTAGTTCAGTTCTAGTTCAGTTCTAGTTCAGTTCTAGTTCAGTTCTAGTTCAGTTCTAGTTCAGTTCTAGTTCAGTCTAGTTCAGTTCTAGTTCAGTTCTAGTTCAGTTCTAGTTCAGTTCTAGTTCAGTTCTAGTTCAGTTCTAGTTCAGTTCTAGTTCAGTTCTAGTTCAGTTCTAGTTCAGTTCTAGTTCAGTTCTAGTTCAGTTCTAGTTCAGTTCTAGTTCAGTTCTAGTTCAGTTCTAGTTCAGTTCTAGTTCAGTTCTAGTTCAGTTCTAGTTCAGTTCTAGTTCAGTTCTAGTTCAGTTCTAGTTCAGTTCTAGTTCAGTTCTAGTTCAGTTCTAGTTCAGTTCTAGTTCAGTTCTAGTTCAGTTCTAGTTCAGTTCTAGTTCAGTTCTAGTTCAGTTCTAGTTCAGTTCTAGTTCAGTTCTAGTTCAGTTCTAGTTCAGTTCTAGTTCAGTTCTAGTTCAGTTCTAGTTCAGTTCTAGTTCAGTTCTAGTTCAGTTCTAGTTCAGTTCTAGTTCAGTTCTAGTTCAGTTCTAGTTCAGTTTAGTTCTAGTTCAGTTCAGTTCTAGTTCAGTTCTAGTTCAGTTCTAGTTTCAGTTCTAGTTCAGTTCTAGTTCAGTTCTAGTTCAGTTCTAGTTCAGTTCTAGTTCAGTTCTAGTTCAGTAGTTCAGTTCTAGTTCAGTTCTAGTTCAGTTCTAGTTCAGTTCTAGTTCAGTTCTAGTTCAGTTCTAGTTCTAGTTCAGTCTAGTTCAGTTCTAGTTCAGTTCTAGTTCAGTTCTAGTTCGTTCTAGTTCAGTTCTAGTTCAGTTCTAGTTCAGTTCTAGTTCAGTTCTAGTTCAGTTCTAGTTCAGTTCTAGTTCAGTTCCTCGTCAGTTCTAGTTCAGTTTCTAGTTCAGTTCTAGTTCAGTTCTAGTTCAGTTCTAGTTCAGTTCTAGTTCAGTTCTAGTTCAGTTCTAGTTCAGTTCTAGTTCAGTTCTAGTTCAGTTCTAGTTCAGTTTCTAGTTCAGTTCTAGTTCAGTTTAGTTCAGTTCTAGTTCAGTTCTAGTTCAGTTCTAGTTCAGTTAGTTCAGTTCTAGTTCAGTTCTAGTTCAGTTCTAGTTCAGTTCTAGTTCAGTTCTAGTTCAGTTCTAGTCAGTTCAGTCAGTTCTAGTTTTTCAGTTCTAGTTCAGTTTTCTAGTTCAGTCTAGTTCAGTTCTAGTTCAGTTTCTAGTTCAGTTCTAGGTATTTCTAGTGTCAGTTCTAGTTCAGTTCTAGTTCAGTTCTGAGTTCAGTTCTAGTTCAGTTTTCTAGTTCAGTTCTAGTTCAGTTCTAGTTCAGTTCTAGTTCAGTTCTAGTTCAGTTCTAGTTCCGTTCTAGTTCAGTTCTATTTTCAGTTCTAGTTCAGCTTCTAGTTCAGTTCTAGTTCAGTTCTAGTTCAGTTTCTAGTTCAGTTCTAGTTCAAGTTCTAGTTCAGTTCTAGTTCTAGTAGTTCTAGTACAGTCTAGTTCCAGTTCTAGTTTCAGTTCTAGTTCAGTTCTAGTTCAGTTCTAGTTCAATTTTCATTTCCCCAGGTTCTAGTTCCAGTTCTAGTTCAGTTCTAGTTCAGTTCTAGTTCGTTCAGTCGTTCTAGTTCGTTCTAGTTCAGTTCTAGTTCAGTTTCTAGTTCAGTTCTAGTTCAGTTCTAGTTCAGTTCTAGTTCAGTTCTAGTTCAGTTCTAGTTCAGTTCTAGTTCAGTTCTAGTTCAGTTCTAGTTCAGTTCTAGTTCAGTTCTAGTTCAGTTCAGTTCTAGTTCAGTTCTAGTTCAGTTCTAGTTCAGTTTTAGTTCAGTTCTGGTTCAGTTCTAGTTCAGTTCTAGTTCAGTTCTAGTTCAGTTCTAGTTCAGTTCTAGTTCAGTTCTAGTTCAGTTCTAGTTCAGTTCTAGTTCAGTTTTAGTTCAGTTCTAGTTCAGTTCTATTTAGCATGTTTTCCATTACTACATTGGAATTATTCAACTAACGTAATATCGGTTACAAATATAAAAAGTTTGACTTATTTATTAAAAAATCGATTAATCATATCAAAACCAAAAAGGGTGAAACAAAAAGATTTCTGTAAGATAAGGAAATTCCCACATACGCAGTTAAAATATTTAAAGCAAAAACAAAACTAAAAAAACAAAACTCACCTTCAAATTCTTTTAGAGGTTGATACAAATCATACGTTAATGTAGAACCATCTTCCAGGGATAAGTAAACACGTTCGCCTAACGGCCAAGGGCATTTAACGCGTCCCACAATACTATGCAGGACAGTTTGTACATGACCACTAAAACCCCACAAGCGTGTTGGTATGTAGCTGAAATAGTAAATTAAAAAAAAAAAAACAAATTGATATAAAATTTAAATATTGTGGGAAAGTTAAAAACAAAATACACTTGTATCATACATATTTAATAGTAAAACAGCAGTTTAAGTTCCACTCCTTACCCATACAATGAGTTACAACTACAACAACAAGAATATAAACTATTAAATAAAGTTAATTTGTGTTTAAGGACATTTACGGTAAGCTTTACAAATCCAACCAAGTTATCTTTACGATGTCATGTGGTATTGAAATATTTACTAGTATATTATGTTTGTATGTATTTCATGTACTATCAACAAGTTAAACGCATTTATACTGTCCGTCAGTTAGTCAGTAATTTTCTAAATCTATTAAACTTTATTTGGCAATTATTTGGTGTTCAGTACAAACATGTGATTTAAATTTTTAATGCGAAAATAAAAAAAAAAATGTCATTTGAAAAATGAATAAACGTTAATCATTGTATCAAAAGACACGCAAACTTGCCAACCCTAAAGTTAAACAAATAAGAATGTATTGTCGGACATGGCCGACTATATGATACCCTACACTCACTGGTGTGAGAATTATATTTTAACCTTAATTTTGAAATATTTTTATACTTATGTCATATGAGACCCGATCATTACGAAAACCAGCAGGGAGTATTATTTAGACTTACATAAAACTAAGTTGAACCCACTTTATTAGAGATACTAGCAAATTTAACATTATTGTGTATTATTATAAGCTTCAAAGTCCTATTCGGTTGTATGTGGGCTAGGTGAAAAAATGAACCGATTTCAACCGTCCCTGGATCAAGAGAAGAGTATTTGCTAAATTTCATAAAATTTTCTTCAAAATTGCGACTTGCAGATTGCTCTGAGTCGATACTATAATTTAAGGCGGAATAGGAAAGGTGTATATATATGTGCGCACAAACGCATAATACCCTCCCCATAATAGTGGTGTAGGGTATAAAAAAGAACATGTGTGACTTTTGTCTTTAAGTTGATAAAAGTTTTGCAAGACTACCTATAAAGTTGACATCTGTTAAATGATTTGAATAAATTGTATGTTACATACAAAGCAAAAAAATCAATAATTAGTACTTCCGTTTGGTAGAAGATGGTTATATTATGTGGGGTTTTAATCTAACTATGAAGGCAAATAATTGTGCGTGTATATATTTAGCAGTCAGTTTTAAGTTCTCAAAAGTCGAAACTTTCATAGGATTCTCTTCAAAATACATATTAAGATCTGTCACTGTCAAGTATTACAAAATATAATAAAACTAAATAAATAGGTAAAATCAATTAAAAATGTTCATACAAAAGCACTGAAATCTTTGATCGTGTTGCTACCATTATTATACCCTCCACCACCATCAGTGGTGATAGAGGGTATATATAACTTTGTCATTCCGTGTGTAACACCAAGAAATATTCATCTGAGACCCAACAAAGTATATATATTCTGGGTCCTTATCAAATTCTGAGTCGATTTAGCTATGTCCGTCTGTCCGTCTGTCCGTCTGTCTGTGTAAAACACGCTCACGATAAAACGAAGCAATGCAGTTTAACCAAATTCACCCAAAATGTTCTTCATTTTCCTAAGTTGTTTGGTATTGCAAATGGGCAAAATCGGTTCACACCGGGAAAAGTTATGAATCAAAATTTAAAACAACCTCGGAAAAAAATAAGCATTTTTTACACATTCTGATGTAGTTTTCTCGAAAACTATGCAAGATAATTCCATGGAAATCACCACACATTCGTTTCTGCACAAGATCTTGATCCCTGCTGAAAATTACCAGAATCGGTCCACAATTTCATATACCTCCCATACAAAAGTACATATTCCCGGAAAATGGGTTTTTTGTTAATAACTTCCGCCACAATGTCGATATCTTCACAAAATTTTACAAATTAATATCTTATGTCAATAGAATTCTTTCAGAAGAAAAATTTTATGGATCGGTCCATAATTGGACATAGCTCCCATACAAGGTCCCCTCCAGAAAATCACTTAAACGCGCATAACTCATTACTAAATTAAGATATCCAAATAAAATTTGGTACAAGTATTGCCCATATGCATAGAAATATTACTGTAAAATTTTTTTCCGATCGGTCCAAAATTGGTCATAGCTCCCATACAAGGTCCCCTCCCGAAAATCACTTAAACGCGCTTAACTCATAACTTAATTAAGATATCCATATAAAATTTGGTACAAATATTACTCATATGCATAGAAATATTGTTGTGAAATTTTTTTCCGATCGGTCCATAATTGATCATAGCTCCCATACAAGGTCCCCTTCCGAAAATCACTTAAACGCGCATAACTCATTACTAAATTAAGATATCCAAATAAAATTTGGTGTAAGTATTGCCCATATGCATAGAAATATTACTGTGAAAGTTTTTTCCGATCGGTCCATAATTGGTCATAGCTCCCATACAAGGTCCCCTCCCGAAAATCACTTAAACGCGCATAACTCAGTACTAAATTAAGATATCCATATAAAATTTGGTATAAGTATTGCCCATATGCATAGAAATATTACTGTGATATTTTTTTACGATCGGTCCATAATTGGTCATAGCTCCCACACAAGGTCCCCTCCCGAAAATCACTTAAACGCGCTTAACTCATAACTAAATTAAGACATCCATATAAAATTTGGTACAAATATTACTCATATGCACAGAAATTTTGTTGTGAAATTTTTTTCCGATCGGTCCATAATTGATCATAGCTCCCATACAAGGTCCCCTCCCGAAAATCACTTAAACGCGCATAACTCATTACTAAATTAAGATATCCAAATAAAATTTGGTGTAAGTAATGCCCATATACATAGAAATATTACTGTGAAAGTTTTTTCCGATCTGTCCATAATTGGTCATAGCTCCCATACAAGGTCCCCTCCCGAAAATCACTTAAACGCGCTTAACTCATAACTAAATTAAGATATCCATATAAAATTTGGTACAAATATTACTCATATGCACAGAAATTTTGTTGTGAAATTTTTTTCCGATCGGTCCATAATTGATCATAGCTCCCATACAAGGTCCCCTCCCGAAAATCACTTAAACGCGCATAACTCATTACTAAATTCAGATATCCATATAAAATTTGGTACAAGTATTGCCCATATGCATAGAAATATTACTGTGAAATTTTTTTCGATCGGTCCATAATTGGTCATAGCTCCCATACAAGGTCCCCTCCCGAAAATCACTTAAACGCGCATAACTCATTACGTAATTAAGATACCCATATGGCACAAATATTACTCATATGCACAGAAATATTACAGATAATTTTTTTTCCGATCGGTCCATAGCTCCCATACAAGGTCCCCTCCCGAAAATCGCTTAAACGCACATAACTCATTACTAAATTAAGATATCCATATAAAGTTTGGCAAAAATATTGCTCATATACAGTGAAATATTACTGTGAAATTGTTTTCTTATCGATCCATAATTGATCATAGCTCCCATACAAGGTCCCTTTCAGAAAAACACTTAAAGGCACATAACTCATTACCAAATAATGATATAAATAAATATTATTTTTGTTCATAAATACTATTTTGTAATGCAAAAAGCACTTAATGTTATTTCAAAAATTTTTCACGATCGGTCTATATTTGGTCATATCTCTCATACTAGGTCCTGCCCCTAAAAGCGCTTTAACGGTATTTAACTATTTGCATTATCAATTTGTGTAGAACAAAATTATATATATGTATGTATTTTGAAAATCCTTAAATCTTTCACACACATGCATACATGCAAATACTAAATATCGCTAAAGCATATCTTAGGGCGCTATTAAAAATTTAAAAGAAAGTGGCGTTTCTAATGTTCAATAAATCTTGGAATTGTAGTAGATTTAAGCTGTTTAAATATTGGGATTTTTCTATTTAAGACATGAGAAAATTTATTTCTACAAATATTTTATTAATTAGAAATGTATTAATACAAAAGTTGCTGGTGGAGGGTATTTAAGATTCGGCTCAGCCGAATATAGCACTCTAACTTGTTTCATTTATTAATGGTGGATATATAACATTTCGCACTGCTAAATATATCACATTCTTACTTCTTAAATAATAGTTTATTGTTTCATGCCTTAATGCACAAAGTATAAATAAATCCATTTTTAAATAATTCAGTATTTTACTTTTCATTTCTTTTCTTTAAATGTATTAATTAAGGTTTGTGTCATTAATCAAGCAAATATTTTGATTTAAATTAGAAATTAATCCCAATTAGTTTGATTAATTGCTTTTTGAAAATGAAATATAAATGAAAATTTAATTATGCAAATGTTAAATTCAAAATGGAAAAGTGCGAATGGTATGAAGTGGAGCTTACAAAATTATTCACACCTTTAACAGTGTTCTATTTCGATTAATAGGGTTTTTTTCGTAATGAAAACACATTTCCACTAAATAATTTTCCGACCCCTAATAGATAGGGAAGTCGATTTGATGGTGGTCCGTATGTATAAATCGAAGTAATTTACGTGAACACTTGCTCTGATTGCGTTATTTCACAGTGGTATCGTGAGCTGTTAGACGACTCACCACCGCCCCTTTGAGCCTTACGAAAAACCCGCAGTGGCAGTTTTTGTAAATGGTTCCGCCGGTCCAAACACATTGCTCATGCAAACATTTGCTACCCCGTTGCGTAACTTTCGAAATGCAAAAACATCACTTGAGTTTACAACCACGTAGATGACATAGCAAACCCTGAACATACCCTATACCCAAGGAAGAGAAACTCAATGATGACACTTATATAAGATACCGTACATATGTACATTAAACCAAGCACACTTCTCATTAATCCGACATATTTATTGAGAAAAACAACCAACACTCTTATTCTAGGTATAAGGGCATTCTAAGTGGGTATACACCTTTATTCTGCATGTCATACATTTAACACCAAGCCATTCTCAACGCTTTAGCCCGAAGTTACTCCTC